GCTTGTCACTTACCAGTACAATATCGTCTACATACTCTAGATAAGACAGCCTGTCACCCGGGAGTAAATCGATGCCACTATCCTTGAACGACGATAAGGCTGTTTCGAGAATTAAATCTGTGTCAAAGTTAAACAGAAACGGACAGAGAGGCAACCCTGTCGAACACCACTTTCTGTAGTGAAGTCGGGTGAAAAAGTGCCGTAGGCTCGGACTCGGGTTCGGCTATTATTGTATAGTGAATTTATTATTGAAATAAACTCCGGCACACCTTTCAGAGAAAGGCAACGCCAGAGTTTAGAGCGGTCGACTATTTGGAAAGCCGCTTTCAGTTTGAGGAAAATGGAAATGGTGGGTCTTCGAAAGGAGTATCTGCGTTCTAGAATTTGACGAGGAGCGAATATGTGGTCGATACAACCTCGACCAGGTCTGAAACCGGCCTGGTTCTCACGCGNGCACTCTTCACGTGCGGTAGACAATCGACGGAGTACGACGCCGGCGAGAAATTTAGAGGCAATTTTGATTAAACTAATTCCTCTGTGGTTTTCACAGGAGGACCTGTCGCCTTTCTTGTCAATCGGTATGATTACCGAATAACACCATTCAGCTGGAACTTGTTCCTATTCTTATACTGTGCCCAGGAGTTTCGTTCTCTTCGAAACTAAGTTTAAACCTCCATTCTTAAAAACGGATGATGAGAGCCCGTCGGGGCCGTAAAGGTTATGCCTTTTGAGATCACTTATTTCGTGGGAAACCTCCAGTTCGGATGGAGGACTGGTATCGACTGGATGTATTTGCACAGTTGCGATGGAGGGTGATAGTTCAGATGTCGATGGGGGCCAGTTGAACTGAGCCTCGATCCTGAATCAGTGTGTCATCGGATTCCTTAATTACCTCATTTAAGCTTATTTTCCTAGGACCCGTATTCCTAATTATATGAAAAAGATTGCGACTATTACCAATAGCCGCAACCATCTCCAACTCTGTACACTTTCCTATCCACCACTGCTCGCGGTCATTCTTCAGACTCTCGATGACCTGGCGTTTGAGGGATTTGCGCGCTGTCATATGCGGCATCGGCAGGACGGGTTCTGCGGGCGTCCANACGGGTTCTGCGGGCGTCCAGCACGGTAGCCGAGGTCAATGAAATCCATCGTTTATGCTTTGAGCCTGCGTGAGAATTTGACGTGGTTTTCATTGAGTTTTGCGTAGTTTCCTTGATTTGCATCCAGTGTTCATTGAGTCCTTCGGTTGGTGGTTGAACTAACACTTGATCGGAGAGTTCCGCTTCGAAGGCTGATTTGCAACAATGAGTGACGCCATGTCGTCGGTATCCGTTGTCGGTGGCTTTTTTACGGTTGGTTTCCAGGCGTAAGGAGAATTTGGTTCGTAGCAAAGCGTGATCCGTATCCACATGTGCTGACCAGTAAGAGCGGCAGTCTTGAATTGATCCCTTCCAGCGGTAACTGATGACGGTCTGGTCGATATGGGTCCAGTGCTGTGAAGAGGTTGGCGGTTTCCATGTAAGGCGGTGTCGTTTCTTGTGCGAGAAGTTCGTGCTTGACCGGAACAATCCGTGGTCGGTACAGAGTTGAAGTAGACGATCTCCGTTGTCCGTTCGGTTGGCTGGCATTGCATGTGGTTCACCAAGAAGCCTATCTGATTCGTCCAGGGATCCCACTTGAGCATTGAAGTCTCCAGCTAATACCACGATATCCGTTGACTGAACGCTTTGGAGTAATCGAGAAAGGTCTTTGTAGAATTCATCCTTGATTTCAGATGTACTGCGATCGGTTGGTGCATACACCGACACGATGAACAGACATCGACGCTTCGTTCTGTAGCTGTTGACCCGCACTGAACCGTTGAGACGTTCAGTGCACAGTCGGCACCTGACTGAAATCCAGTTAAAAAGCGAGCGTCCAGCCCTGTCACTCAACGCAATCCCGACACCAGCAACACCGCGAGCTGAGGATGCCGAATTGCCTGACACATGAAGGGTGAAGCGCGAGGTTGAAGCTGGATCAGGAAGGCAAGGAGTAAATGGTAGTGGTGTCTTGTATGCCTATTTCCGAGACACACCTAAATTGAAAGTTTCAAGGGTTCTAGCTAAAGCAGCTTGTTGACCGAAATGATAGAGTGTGCGGACATTGAAAGCGGTCAAGTGAAAAGGGAATTTCGGCTTCAAAACTCCTGTTACTTCTGATTGTTTGGACTTGTTGATAAAACGCTGAGTGATATCCGATGGGTCTAGTAAACAGCTGGTGTTTGGGATTATTCGGGATTGAGAGAAAGAAATAGACAGATGGGAAGGAGGATTTTCCAAATGGGTGTCCAAGACTTTAGCGCACGACAGACTTTGCGGTAGCCCACACTGACGAAAGGGGTTTGTCTTCGGGAACCCTAACCGGAGCCCTTGACTCAATAGTCTGATCCACAAGGCAGTGAGGCGGGAGCGTGAACGAAGCACCCGTGTGGGAGCACATGAAGACCTGTCACGCAAGGCCTTTGAATTTCGGTTTAAGTTTGTTGTTCCTTGGGGCGTTGATTATCGATCCGCTGTTCGGGATCGGTTCTTAGCCTCATGCACCCAATGAGACAAGCGGAACGTGAACGGGACAGCACCTTATTGGCTGGGGGCTGCCCAGCTTGGGCGGGCGGTAGCTGTCCGATGAAGTACGAAGACTTCTCCCACCGTCGAGAGGTAGCCCCAGATACCCCGCTCCTACGTCCATCTAGCGGGGTTTTTTTGACCGGTAAACTTCCCCTCATCGTGTTTATTTGCTGGAGTGACCTCTCCAGGGGCGGGTGGATAGAAGAAGGGAGCCAAGAGTTGCCCAAGCAGCTGGCTTTGTGAGACCGCTTCGTCTGGCCTCTACCCGTTGACCTTTCAGACATAATTGAATCTGCGGCAGTGAGGAGCGATCCTGTATAGCTCGAAGGGACATGTGGGCACGCAAGCCATCACACCACGTCAAGGTGCAGTCTCATCGTGATAGTATCAATATCATGGACAATAAAAAGTGGACAACATACCCAAAGGCCTAAATCTACTGCATCCAAACTTGTGATTCATCATTGAAACTGAACAGAACAACAGCCTGAATTTTTGAGACGTACGAAATCATTTAAAGACAGATGGAACCATTTCAAGATCGGTTGATCGTAAAGCAACAGGGACAGGTTTGTACAAGCATTTTGGAGGTATTCTGATAATTGCGTGTAGATGTTGTCTGGTTCTTACCCTAATCTTCATAGAATCTGCACTGAAGAGAGGACAGCAAACGAGATGAGCCTGTAAAGCAACACACACGGACAAAAACCCGTTATCCCGAAGATTCTGTTGGGAGGCACAGCAAACCCGAAATTCAGTTGTTGTAGTGTCTTGATTAGAGGTCATGATTTGTCTACCGTGCAAATGTGATGACGCTACTATACAGCCAAACCCAGAATCAGTTCAGCTTTCTGTTTTTACAGCCATCAACCATGCACTTTTTTGCACCCGTTTCGGTATGTCTCAAAGCTGCCCATTGAGAAGTACGGGGATGATTGGAATGTTAAAGTCAATTATAGGGTAAAAATAGGAAATTTATGAAGACAAAGGTTGCAAGGTAGATGCATGAGCGCCACTGTCTGCGACGAACTCATAAAAGTAAATAGGGCAAGAACCAATCTGGGCGAGTTGCCACCAAACTTGTTGTCACAATCAGCAAAGTACTGATCCAAGCCAAACTTCAGTTAGACTGCCATTGACGCTTGTTCCATATAGATTGCCTCCGACTCAGATAGATAGGAAACATTATTTTTTCACAAATTCCCGGTTTACTGACTCCTACCCGAGTGCAACGAGATTTCGGGAAGAGTGCAGTATGCTGATCGTCTTCCGCAACTAAATATGCATATAAAAACCAACAGAGTCAACGTCTTATTCAGCATACGGGAAAAATCCATCTCCCAGTCAAATAACCACACAGCTTAGAATTCCGAAGTCTGTTGTCTATACTTGGTGATCTCACCGGCTTTAGGAGAATAAGGCTAAACGCACACAAAACCATGGAGAGGAATCACTTTGTTTACCTGTTGAGTTTTATTCAATCGGACACCGGGTAATCGATTACCGAAAAACAAACGAGCCAAATTGGGAAGCAGATCACTGATCACGTGGAAATCCACAAGTGATCGTGAGTATTTTTGTAGACGTTCTAGATCGATCGGAGAGAAGAGGGTTTGCGCCTCTTCGGGTCTCAGTTCTATAGAAATACGAAACAGAAAACCACATTAAACTTCGTGCAGAGAAGTGAAATAAATAAAACACAACTACAATTTGATTCCAATATTGTTGTCAACAAACAACCCATCAGCTAGAATGCAAATGGAAAAATGAAGTTTTGGAACGACAAACTATGTGAGATACGAGAATTAGACAGTGCATCGTTACCGCAACAAAGGAGTGGTATCCGAGTTAAAGACATATTCCGAGAAATCCGCTCGCACCAAGTTACGAAAATTCGGAGTCGTTACGAAAATAACTTAATAGTATTGTGCTTATAAAGGAATTAGGGACTGATTTCTTTGAAATGAAAGTGCTCGAGGAATGACCTCCTGGAGCGAATTCTGAACGCGTACAAGTGTAAAAACGTATGTTCACACGAGAACACTCAAGAACAAATTCACACTGATGGTAAGCGTTCGATTTTCTTTCTGAGATTCTGTATTTCCTTTTTACCTTGGGAAGAAATGAGAGCGGATAAATTTAGCCTACAAAGCGCTTTGGAATCATACGGCATTCCGCTCTTTCTGCAAAAAAAGTAGTGAAAGCAGCCGAAGTAGGATTTCTCGCTAATTAGATTCTGGAATTAGTAAAGAGAAATTTGTGACTGCCGACAAGGACAGCTGTTTTGCCTCTGTTGAGAGCCAAATTGCAGACCTTCGGTTCGGAGGTCGAGGCCCAGATACCTGAGCTACACGGTCAACACCCTGAATCGGTGAGTACAGTAATGTTTTGATGGTTGTTCGGGAAAACCAACTCAAAGTTTACAGGTGCTAAGCACCGTATGCGACTTGATTGGTGGTTTCAACCAGTCACCACATAGGAAACATATGTTCGGGTAGGAACACAAGTTAATGCGCACTGCTGGATGTAATAGCTGTCCAGTGCTCTTAGTCAGGAATCACATATTTATTCTATAACAATAAACGTGTCGTATTTGGGGATTATTATTGCACCTTCAAGGAGCGAAACCACAGCGCAGTAAGATAATACCCAGAGCCTCGTGACTGTGAAAATCAAATGTGAACATAACAATCTAAAAAGATGAAGAAACATACTTTTGTAGCCACACACTTCCCAAGTTTTTCATAAAATTGCCTTATTAGTCTAATCACAACTCTACTTCACATTCCGCAGCGGGGCGAAGCGCAGGCCAATGTCCAACATAGGAAGCAAATAAAAAACGAAAACTTAGTTTATGTAGCGCCAGCTTGTTGAGTTTTATCACTTCGCAAACACGGGTCATCACTGATCAGGATGCATTAAATCGTTGAATGGAATCGGCTTTTCTTTATTGACACACGCACACACGAGCGCACACACACACACATGTTTAGCTGGTGATAACGGGTTGCGCATCTGCAGTTTATACTTTTCAATCGGACACAACACACATGACGATGGTTACACTCACCATTCACACTGAGCTTTTCCGCCGACTTATTGTGAAAAAGTTCGAGGGCGTAGGCAGCATCCATGTAACGAAAACATCCAGGGAGAAGGTGAATGAATCTTCGTTTGAAATCTGTAAATATAGAATGGAATTACTCATAAACAAATCTGAGATCGATGAGCTAGCAAATTTATCACCGATAAACTCCCATTAACATGGCGGCT